CTGAAGAGAGTGCCATACTTTTCGTTAAACAGACTCCTCCGTACACAATGTCTGTGCTATCTCCCTCCAGGAGTTTTTTGCTACTGGACTACCTTTAATAGTTTGTTTGAAAGAGTCGTATAGATGGATGTAGTTTCTTACTACTCCTTAAAGCTATCCATGTTGCATTGCACAACATTCAGCTTCTGGAAGCAAAGAAATTGAAGTGAAATTGTTCCTGTCCGAGTCCTTTTCATAATCAAATACACCCACGAACTTCTTACCAATCTTACAATACTTTGCACATACACCTGTGAGAAAAGGTTCGGACCGGGCCTTGTCTTGAGAAGAGGCTGTTGAAGCTACTACGAAACCAAAATTATGCAATTTTCATCACGCAACTATGTCAACAAGAGACAATTTCTTCACTTCAGATGATGTATAAAACAGCCTCTATCCATCCTTGTCACTCCTAACCTCAATATAATCAGCTCTGATACATCCTGTTCTATCTCCTGTCTTTTTGTCAGTCCTGTTGTCTCCAAACCATGCAACAGTATTCTACTACATAGTTTAGTTATGGTCTTCCTTTACTGGTCGTGTTTCTTGTGGTGTGCCACAGGGCTCTAATCTTGGTCCTTTGTCCTCCTCTCTAAGCTTCCTTTTGTATCGGTTATGTTCGATATATTCAAACACTTTCCATTTCACTGCTATGAGGACAACTAGTAACTTTCATATCTTTTTTTATTACTTGCTGACATTGAACAATGGCTTCACCAAATTGTTCTGTTTTTATTTAAAGGAATGAATCTTTTTTTGGAGATGATACTCCTGGTAACTTTGGTGTTTTGACTTCTAAGTATTTCACTMTTAAAATGTTTTTTTATTCAGACAGGTTTTTATTACCTACTGGATCTCTTTTTGTTGTTGTTTGTTTTTAACTTTTGTATTGAGAAACCCTTTGTGCACCTTTTGGCTGTTAGAAAGGGCTCTATAAAAAAATTTTGTTTTCCTTTATACGCCTGTCCTAAAACGAGATGTATTATGTTGTTGGCGGTACTCTTGTTTTCTTTGGTCCCAGGTGGTAATAATAACTGGCAAAAATGGCTTTGCATGCACCAGAACACTCTTAGTCATGTTTAAACATTATTTTGGTGCTTGCACACCACTGTCCATAGCTAAAGAAACAATTACCTGGAGCTTGTGTTTAAACCATGACTGTTGAGGGTGCAGTAGATAAATAAATGTTCACGCACACTAATAGAGATGTTTCCCCCTCGAGTCATGATGTGCATTTCTGGCTGTGATTCAGAGTTAGTCAGGTCTTACTGCTGGCTTTCTTCTCAGACAGCTGCTACAGCTATCCAATAACACACACACGCACACGCGCGCACACAAACTGTAACATGTGTCAACACATTTGCTCACACACAGTCTGCCTCTCGTGGATCACATATCCACTAATGTTGAAGATAAAGGGATCAAGCCTTTCCTGTTGGCTCATTTTTTTATCACAAAAGGAAAGTTTTTGGAATAAAGACATTTTTTTATAAACAGAGATGCCCAATCTTTTTTTGTCATCAGCTCCTTGGTTTCTGCTGTAGAAAAATCAGAGTGAAGCACAGTTGGTGTTTTATTGTAAATTATTATATTATTATTACACACATTTTATTTATAGTCATCGTAACTGGTGTTATGCGTAGATGCAACACGATAATTGTAGAAAAAAGGATTGTTGAGACATTGTTCTAATGGTGTAACACAATCTATGATTTCTAATCCAATGATTTTGCAGATCAGTTTCTCCAAAACCTCTTGCAACYAGCTGTTCGCATTCACCCGTACTTCACTCTGAGCGGATATGGATTACACGTTAGATTTACGGTGCGTAGTATGAGTCACCGTCTAGTCGTTGGTATGCTGACACAACGTATGCAGCGTTACGGAAGATCTAAGCTCCTAATCCGATGAGTTTCTTCATCACATGGAGCTCCAGAGAAACAGTCTCTTCAGCATGAATGGCTACTGGAGTATATTAAAAATGATAGGAAACGAAAGTTGCGTGATCACCTGAAATATTTTACCATTCTTTGGTACAGAGATGGTAAACTCTGGAGATGTTAATGACCTGGATGTAGGATGGCTGAGCTAGATGGCCGATCGACTGAAAGATTAGGTAAATTATTGCCTTTTTCTTGAAATCATCTGTTTGACCAAATCAGAGTATGCAAAGTTGTTTATAGTCCTCCTGTTGTCCTTGGGTCAAAATGACCCACAAGACCTTAGTTTTCAAATGGAGGCCATGCAGATTATTTTGACCCAAGGGCAGCAGGAGGACTGATGGGTAGAACATTGTTAAATATGATGCTCCACCTTCTACAGCACATTCTGTGACTTGGGAAACTTTCATGACAAGGATGCTTTGTTTTTGGTACAACCCCAGTGCCAAAAGAGACTAACACGAATATTATGCTACCTTTTAAAGCACTAATGCCATATACTGTATATCAAGAAAGATGGTTAGACTTCATTTATTTATTTTTAAGAAAATCTAAACTATTCGTAAAAAGTTTGGAGCCCCATGTTATTATTTCAGTTGACTTTAACCTACTTTGCTGTAAGCGTCTTAAATCACCTGTTTTAATATTTTCAATAGATCGTAGTCTCTATCAAAAATAAACCGTTATAAAATGGGTCCAAAGCAATCAGGTCATCAGCTGTCCTGATTTCTAAAGATCATCATCAGCTTTTTAAAAACTCTTATCAGTCGACCTCAACAAGTACCTTTGTGTTGAATTAAAATGTTCATGGGATTATCGACCTTGATTTTTATTTGCTCTTAATCTTTGCAGATTTTTACTAGCTCTGATTTTAATGTTTTTATTTTTTTGCACAATAAATATGTGTCATTGTCCGTGCATTTTGGTTTGCTTGTATTCTGTGGTACTTTATTTAAATTACCTCCGTGTTTTGTATCCTTTGTTTCTTGTGCTGTCTCCCTCTGGTGTTCTTTATCATCTTTTCCTCAGTCAGCTCCAGTCACTCACCTGTCCATTGTTTGTAATCAGTCTTCCTCCAGGTGTTGCTCATCTTCCTTCTCCCTCAGTTTCTATTTAACCACTCCTCTGTCACCACTTCTCTGCTGAATCATTGCATGGCTAAGCTTTTTGTTTCATTTATTAAATATGTTTTGGTTTGAGCTCCTTGTGTCTGCTTGTGGGTTCGTTCAACAACACTCCTGACAAAAGGAATACCTTTTTTAGTGAGTGCTATTTCTTTGCACATTTTATTTCCTTTTACAACCATTTAAACCTTTTAGTTATTGTGTTCCAGGCTCGATTTTTGCTTATCTCCAACATAAAATTGCAGTTATTTAAATTTTATTGGGAAAATAAACTTAAAATCATTTCCATATTTTATTACTTATCCTTGGTCACGTCATGAAGGCAACAAATCCAGGAGAGAAACCCAGACCTCCCTCTTCCCAAAACTACTCTCCAGCTTCACCTGGGGGACCTCAAGGCACTACCAAATCAGAGGATTAATATAATCCCTCCAGGGCCTTTTCTCAGTGGAACATGCTCTGAAAATCTCCAAAGGTATCCATCCTAATCAGATGCCCAAACTACCTCAACTGAGTGCTTTCAGTGCAGAGGAGAAGTGTCTCTACTCTGAGACCACCCTACGTTGGAAGCTCATTTYGGCCTCTTATCCAGGATATATCCATATCCATCTATATCCAGGGTCTTATTCTTTCAGTCATGATTCAAACGTTTATAGGCGAGGGTTGCATTGTAAGAGCTTTGCCTTTGGAACTCTTTCTTCACTACGACTGACTGAAGCAATGCAGTTGTTACTGAGGACGAGGCCTTATTCCGTTGATTCATCTCCTGCCCCATTCAACCATTGCGCACGAATAAGACGCCCAGATTCTGGAACTCCTCCACCATGAAAGTCACAAGGAAATAAAAACACAAAGACACCCAAGTGACAAAACACRGCATGCCAAATGACTCACGAAGCGATCAAACATGACCTAAAGACAGATCATGACTCATTCTGGATCTTTAATGAATTTGTTCAACAGAAGCAGATGTAAATGACCATAAAGGGACACAGGGTTACCATAAAGAGATGTGCAATGAGGAGGATGAGACCATTACTAAAATAAAACCTATGATTGCTCAAAAATTTATATAAAAAAGATCATTTATAGAAAGCTGCTTGTACAAATAGAAACTAACCAGAAAAGAAGACAGAATAATGACAAAGCATCACTTTTATGAGGAGTACTGCAAGTCATCAAGGTTGTTTAGCCATTTAAAATTTGAGATTGTAACAATTTATTGGCACAAGACCCCTGTTATCACAGAAAACGTGTTTGTATCAATCAGTAAGCCTCCCATTTTCGTGGAGATTGAACCTCCGTTTGATATTTACAAAGAAGGGTTTGATGCGTTTTGAGTCATCCTGCAAGGCGATTTAGAGCAAATCTTTATAATCTGAATGAAAATTTGTTTGGCAATTACTGGCTCTCACTGCCAGCCTGGAAACCTCACACTCAGTGCCAGCCTTCGTGTGCGCACACACACACACCGCCTCCTCGCTGTGATAATCCACCATACACACCAAGACTGCGGAGACGCTGTCAGCTTTTGCTGACAGACAAATGCACGATCGTACACATTTAGCCATCCAGGCCTCGGGTTTTGGCAAACACAGGGTCACACATGGCAGCCGAAGGAAACGGGAGGGGGATGCTTTTTTTTTTTTGCTTTTTTTCTAATGCTATATGTCTGAGCTGGCTAAATGAGATTATCGTAATCCAGCCTGACCAGAGAGAAGAGCAAATGCTGTTTATTTTATCCCCTCTGTAAATCACTGTCTCCCTTTTACTCTTTTTATGTTTGATGACTTTTTGCCCTTCTGCTAAATAAAAGTTAAAGTTGTCTTGTGGTGCTGTAAGACTTAAATAAATCTCTCTCTCTCTCTCTCTCTCTCTCTCTCTTTTTTCTATTTAGATGACATCGTGCAGAAAGATGGCCCTCTGTGTGCAGCTGAAATTGGCTCTGAACTCCAGAAACAGTTTGCCATCCTGCCAGGTGCGTTTGAGCCGTCTCTCCTGAGCTGACATTAGAAAACAAAATGACTGAACTGTAAAGATTTGAGCCAAAACATTTTCAAACAAAAACTCGAGGAAGCAGCAAATCATTGCCTTATTGTCCCTATAGCCTCTACCAGATACCAGGATAAATCTGCTGACAGGCAAAAAAACAGTTTATTTTTTTAGTGTTATTAATAAAACTGGAATGAAATAAAATAATTAATTTGTGTGACAGCAATGAAACACAGATTTGTCACTATGCTTCTAATAATAGCTCCTTTTTTAAGTGACTTTTAAAAAATGCTGCTTGTAAGGTTCTGGACCTTTTTCAAGTTAAAGTTATCTTGAATATCCCCATTGGGCAATTCATCGAGAATAGAGTAATACCATAAAAACTATCATGGTATAGGTATATCTACTAAGAAACAACGCTCAACAAGAAGTATTTAAAAGRACAATAACAGCAGGTAAAAAGGAATTCTTAGATTTGTTGGTTCTGCATCTTTTTAAAGCAAATGTGCATCCTGATGGTAAAAGAGAAAACTCTGTGAACAGGAGGTGGTTAGACTCAGCATTGTCTGAGCTTTCTTAACGGATCTGTTTCTGTGGAGAATGGAGATGTTAGTTAGTGGGACACTGGCAATTTTGCTGCAAAGACTGACAATGTATATGCATTTTTTTCTGTGTCAATAACCCATACTAGCAAATAAAAGAAAAAGTAAGAACTGATTCAATAAAACAGCAATAAAACATTCACATAAAACCACTGTCCATGTTGTCCTGATGCATCTCAGTAATCCAGGTAAAAAAATCAAAAAGAAAAAAATTGTATAGGTCTTCTGGACGGGTTCTTCTTTAATGAAACGTTTCATCTCTCTTCCAAGAGACTTCTTCAGTCTGAGAGTTTCAGGCAAAATTCAGGCTTTTAAGCTTCAGAATTTTGCCTGAAACTCTCAGACTGAAGAAGTCTCTTGGAAGAGAGATGAAACGTTTCAT